GAGCACCTGGCCCCTCCAAGAAACGATACATTTCGATAGGTTTAAATGGAAGAAATCCGGTGTCGTCGAATTGCGTGATCTGCCAATGTTATTTCGCTTTTTATCGCCTCATCTACAGATTTATCAATTTGATAAATCTATTTTGGCAACTTTCAGATAATTTGACATTGGATTGAGAGTCATTTATCGGACAAAAACTCCTGAAATATGTCTGTGGACAGGGCCGGATTTACCTACTTGCCGCCCATGGGCCGCTAGTATTTTGCTGGCCTCTTCTCATTCGTTTTGAAACATCAATGAAAACCATCAAATGAACGTGCCAGCGGGGGATGGGTGCATAAGACGCGTTTACTGGTGTTGAACACATTTTTTGGGAAAGCCCTGTCACGAAAGTTAAGTTTCGTAAACCTATCTCTGTGTGGACAAGGCCTTCCATTCATAAGAAATGAACGAAACAATTATGAAAGAACAAACATAAATGTGGATTAATGATTTTAACTTGCGCCGCCGCGCCTCGTAGACCGCACTGTTTTTGACGCAATGCGTGAAGTATCCACACAGTCTTGTAGGCGCTATGCGTCTCCCGCTGATCGCACTGTTTGCCGCAATGCGTGAGGTATTCACGCATTCTTGTAGGCGCTATCCGTTTCACGCAGTCCGCAATGACCGCACCGTGTTTGATGCAATGCGTGAAGTATTCATGGAGTCTTGTAGGCGCTAATATGTGTTACATGCCGATCGCCGCGCCGAGGACTTCTTCTTTTCATCTCAAGTCCTCGTCATCATTTCTCTCTATAGGTAAGTCGTTTGGCCGTTCCAGGCCAAATTGCGTGTTTGGTTTCTCTCTTAACTCGACTAATTAAAGTACTGCCTTTTGTATCACTGAAAGACGACAAAAGTAGAAATTACTGTACTCTCAGAAAATTAGAGATTTTGTCGCCTTTTCTCGTTTGTAATTTTTTTTTCTAAATTCGATTTTTTTTTATTCCTACATTTATAAAATTTCAAAATTTGCCGCCCCCATAGATTTGCCACTATCCTTAATCCGGTCCTGTCTGTGGAGGCTTGTAATTTATGAGAAAACACAGTCCTAGTGGCATGACGTAGGATGAGTTCGTTTGAAATTTAAGGGAGTGAAGAGTGAGAGCCTGAAGTTGATCAGTAGTTTGAAGTCTTTAGTTTCAATTCCTTTTTCCTCGAGGTATCTTTCCTCGATGGAGTCCTTTTTTTCTCTAAAAAAGCCGGAAGCTCCATCTTTTTTAAAATGAATGAGCTGACGGAGAATGATGTAACACCGATGAGAGTAAAAGATCAAAGGCTGAATTGGAAGCGTGTGCAAATAAATTGGATCTTCGCTAACAAGAAACGAGGGAAGAACTTAAAGTCAAAACTTTTAAATGCAAAGAAAGTTTGTCAAAGTAATCGTGTAATATCTAGGTTGATCGATCAGGAGTCAAACACCTCTCAGCGTTGTCGGTTGTTGGTGATGAGAAAAATCAACGACGATTTCACTCATCCGTTCGATGCTTTGCGATTTATAGATTGATTTGCCGTTTGAACCTATGGAGTAGAATCGATAAATAGAGTGTTGGCAACAAAAACCTTGATAATCGATTCTTTATCGTAACTTCAAATGGAACAATAGCGATAATTGATCATTTATGTTTCGCTATACTAAATTCGATATGTCTGTCAGCATACTGAAGTCCCGAAAGTAAAAGCTTCCACAATGGCCAAGATACTAGTGGAGGGTCTCTCGTCTCTGCACCTATCTGACTATCCTAACCTCACGAAACTTAGCATGTGATCGTCCTTGGGGAAGGCGATCTCAGTCCATGAAAGCACAAACTGCAATATCAAGAGCGGTTTTATTTGTTGCCGTAATGCTCTCATATCCACAATCCAAATCGAGTTATGTGATCTAAGATACGCCTATCCTTTCGTGGATGGTCAATAATCATTCACATCGATATCCGAATTGATTTGTTCCTCGAGTGTTCAAGAATGCAAGAAGAATGCTCTATGGCTAATGTTCAATGCCCAATGCCCAATTCCCTACGCTGAAGGAAATGCTCCTGGTTCGCACGCAACTTGACAATAGTGATTCACCTTCAAATGTGCGCGTTATCTTCTGAAGTGTTCGAGCCAGAACCGGGGTATGCTTGAGGCTCTAGTGTTTTCAATGATGACATCATCATAGATAGCGTTGTTAAGCTGGATCCAGGCGTGATCACTCATCTGGGCCGACGCACAACGCGTGGGACTTTCGCGAAGTCAATCTTCGGCGATCGGATGCGCTGAGGAGATACAGCATCGATTTACGAACAGTCTACATACAAGGTGTCGTAGGGTTAAACGACCAGACTGGTAGAGTGTATTCCATGGGTCAAAATAAGACTTTTCTCTTCCACAAAGCTTCTTGCAAAAGCGCACCTAGTCCGAGTAACGGCATCCCTAAATTTTTGGAAAAATCATCTTTTTTTTAAATTTTGGCAATGGTCATCGTTCAAAACTCATAAAAATGACAACGTTCATTCAATTTGAAATTAAAATATTTGTGAATTTATGAGCGCCTGAAATTCGACGAGGTGTTGCCATTTTCATTTATTTTGGTGCTTAATCTTCGCAAAAATTCAGAGGAAAGACTGGTATTCTCGAAAATTTGGGGTTCCCTTGCTCCAACTGAGGGCTATTTAGAAAAAAAAAGTGTTCGAAAGGGAAGTTTTATTTTGACGTATAGAACTTAATCTCATACTTGGCCTGACTGTTTAACCCCGGAACACCCTGTATATCAATACATGCGCAAGATATCTTCAGATGATTCTTCACATGCGTTTTTTTTTTTTTTTGTCAATGTAACAGCTAAAAACAATTCATTTTTGTTTTATTTCTCGAATTTTCTCGCTAACTAACTAAAATGTCGCTTTTATAGCGTTTTTGTGCGCTCTGCGACACCCAACCGCCACTGATAGCGATCCTGCCAGAGCTCTTCCGGCAAATCGCATCTCCTCATTTCCTGCCTTATACCATCAATCCACGATTTAGCAGGGTGTCCTCTACATTTTCCGCCAGGGGGCAAAAATGAGTCAGCCTATCTTTCATAAACTATATATTAGTCCAGTCAATCTAGCTTTTTACCTCGGACAAATTAGCACAAACTTTTCCTTTGGTATATAGGGTCTCTAGGTACCCAATAAGACAGAAAAAAAAGTTTACCAAAAAATTCCACCGGGAAAGTGGTCAAATCGCAGTTTTTCAAAATGGCGGCTAACGGCAATTTTCAAAGAGGACGTACATACGGATTTCCCTTTATAACTCAAAAATAATGCGTCAAACCAAAAAAATTTGGCATTAGTTTGAAAGATCATAAAATTTTGATTAAGAATCATATACAAAACTTAGGCTTTTCTTATTTTTTTCTTTCCGAATTTTAATATTTAAAAACAACAACCGGCAAAATCTGCTGAAAATTCACGATTTCTCGCGTTCTTGACCAATTTTAGGTCAAAATAATTAATTTAAGGTTAAAAACAACGGCACCACTGAAAAGTAC